AATGCACATGGCTATAATACAGCCAACGTTATATGACTAGTGCAGGTCTCTTCATATAACGATGCAGCACATGAATTTTAGTAACATGATGGGGAAGAAGCTTTAAGGTCACAGAGGACGGGTGGGTGAGCAGATGGACAGTAGGCTACCTGAGTTACCTGATAAGATAGATCTAGCTTACACACCCTTTCCAAGCATCACATTAAAAAAAAAAAAAAACCCCACTATTAATAGCATACCAAGGATGGATTGGAGAGCAGCAGTAAAAAAGTGAAGCCCTTCTGGAATACAAGTGCATAACCAAGTACTGAATAACCCAAACATTTACTCCATTTTTCATTTCAAATTGTCACAACACATGAACCTCTAGAACACTTGATCCCATTTAAATAAGAGCACCTGGAAAGACTGCTGTGGAGAGCAAATAATGCCTTCTAAGGTCTTTAAATGAAACTTTATACTACTATGAATAAAAATCAATTAAAATGAGTTGCACATTGATATTGCACCTGTTCGCTGGAAAGCATTATAATGTAAACTTCGCCAGGCTGAGAACCCTGTGGTTTGTCCAAAACCAACATAAGAATATGTATGTGTGTGTATATAATTTGCATGTTAAAAAAAAAAAAGAAAAAAGTATTTCAATCATCACTGATAACATCTATCAGAAAATCCTGGAAACATTACGTTATGTGTTAAGTGACCAAACTATTACCTACCTCTCATTGAAGAACAGTAGTTCAGCAGAAGCAGCTCATGCTACTAACTCTTAGAGAGGAGTTGCATCGCTTTTCTTCTACCAAAATCTACCTTTCATATACACTGGTCTAATCTGAAGGCTGATACATTACATAAATCCAGCTGAAATACTACAAAGGTCCAAGCACTTTGCTCAACCAATTTACAGAACAGCAAAGAAAGGGATGTCAGAACTGAGGACACAACACACATTTTATGTTTGGAGTAAAAGGTTTGTCTACAGCTTTTACGTCAAATACAGCTCCTAAATATTTTTGTTTCAGGCAGCTTACACTCAATGGTCTAAAGTAAACTGAACAGACTATTTTACTAATTGTATTGTTACTGCTAAGTTATAGTACTGTTGTATTTATTAACTCTAACTGTAGTTAGAATAGTAATAGCACTATGAAGGAACACTGATAACAGCGTGAATGAATTTAGCTTATTTGACTTCTGTTATCTACTGTTAGGTGCTTTAGCTAATTAAGCCTCTGCAAGGTTTTTCAGAAAAGGAACATCATAATTGCCCTCAAAAGCCTCTGCTGACTGTAACAAGCCTATGTTTAGACAGCGCGCATACACCACTTAGCAGATGAGCCCAATTTATCGGTCAGCATTCCATTCCTATTTCACATGAAGGAAAATAAAAGTCTGTAGAAGTTTCAGCAACCCTTGAAAGGCTGTATTTTTTATTCTCAAGGTAATAGCTAAGTACACTGAAAGAAATGTAGGAGTTAAAAGCTGTTGCCTCACACAGAGAGGAATTCTGCACCACTCAAGACATATAGTTCAAGTGGCTTCTCTGCCATATGCTGCTGTCCCTGTACAGTGAACATTATTATTTTGGAAATCAAGTTCTAAAAGGTCTTGGGTCACAGTCTTGCAAAGACTTGTGTAAGATATGCCATCAAAAGTCCTGTAGGAATTTGACTATTCTCAGTATTTAACGTACAAGTGGCTCTATGAAGAACAGGAACCTAAAGACCTTAGCAACACACATATGGGAAAAAAAAGTTATCCAAACAGTTCAAAATGCTATAACACTTAAGCATTTTTAATTTGAAGAGCTTTAATGAAATAATACAAGTGATAAACTAATTAACATTGTCATAGTTAAGCAATCAAGAATTTACACATAACATATTCCCTACCTTAAAAAAACCCCCAACAAACCACATATTCCAACAACTGAAAGTGAAACAGCACCAAAACGCAACTAGACAAGAGGTGCTTTGAGGAGCTGCACTAGTAACATTCTGTTCCTCCTGAGGTAGGGACATTCTTGGCATTCTTTAGGAATCGACTACTGATGAAGCAATCAAGCCAAAGCTAAAATGGATACAAAGCCACTGAGGATTATGAGCATAGATTTTTAAATATGATGCACCTGCTTGTCAAAAAGTCCGTTAACTTCCCTATGATGTGGAACACCTCCAAAACGGTAGGGTTTGGGAGTGTTCCAGCAGGCAGAACAGAAAACTGGAGTTGAGTGCATGCTTCCCATTTCTTGTTCAAGTGCTCTAAACCAACTAAATAGTTTATATGAGGTGACATAAAAAAAACCTGTAGCTCTTCATCAATCATGTTTTGAACTAGTTTCCAAAGGAAGAAGCCATTCAAATGCCCTGGTTTTCCGTCTCTCCATTTGTCATCACTAGTAATCTTGAACTAGGTGTCCAGTTTCAACCAATTTTACAGAGAAAGACAAGTTTTAAGAAAGACAAAATTTAGAAAAAAATTCTTAAATTTGTCAGCCTTATATTGAATATCCTTCCTTGGGGGAAGAAAGCAGAACTTAATCTCCTATGCATTGTATGATGTTGCAGACAAGCAGCCTATGTAGACCGTGCAATGAACTAACATGCAGAGCTTTTGATCAGCCATTGTACGTAATTGTCATTTACACAAACTATTACAGAATGAGATTGGGAAACACAGAACACCTTTTGTATATGAAACAATTCAGCAGGCATATAGTACAGGTGGTAAGAGTATGCTTCTTGGATTAGGAGACATTCTAGAGCTGTCAGATGATGCAGGTCAAACACAAAATTTCAAACAAGTACTGACATGCACTAGGTGCAAAGCAAACAGACACCACATTGCTAAGCCCTGAGGAGAAAGACAGAATTGGGGATATCAAGAAAAGCAGAGCTTTGAGCAATGAGGGAATTCAACAGTGAAAATTCAAACTCCTGTGGGAATCTGAAAGGTTCTTTACAGATCAAATTTAGACTTTGTTACTTAAAACTTTACTTAAAAGCCTTTTTGGAGGATCTCAGCTCTTTTGTGGATCTGGTTCTCTCCTCCTCAAACAGGCCAAATTTCAATTCTCCAAAATAGAATTGCCATTCTCTAAAATATCTTTTTTGCATTTCAAAGGTTTTTTTCAAGACTGTACTCTGAAACAGAACATACTGTAAACAATGTTCAGTCTGATTGCAGAAACCCTCCTTAGACAATAGCTCAGTATCCAACGCCTATAATGGAAAATTCTCTGTCATGGAAAATTCTCATATCCAATTAATGTATCATCTAGGCACATTATCTGTTACTAGTTGATTCAATGTTTGAGGCTTCAATGGATATCAAACAAAGAAACAACTCAAGTAATCCTAAATACGCTGTGCTCCTTATGAAACACAGAATGTCCTTTCTGATCTCTACTACTTAATACTGCTAGCTTATATCATGAAGTATGAAAATTTGAGTTCACTTAACTGTAGTTTTGCTTCACTGAGCTACATTTATTACTAAGCATCTAATTATCTTATTCCACTGAAAAGTTCTGGCCATAATATTCCACTTTATATTCTAAGGCAATGGCAAATTTGCAAATGCACAAGTAAAATCTCTCTTGGCATTGGTACTAGCTCTGCTTATTAAGCAAGGATATTATAAATATTCTATGTTTAAAAACTATACAAAAACCACTGTTTTCCAGTTAAGTATGCAACAACTAATGAACTTGACTGAAAACACTTTGTGTAAAAGTTAAAGACATACACAAACATTATTCAGACTCCATGATTACGTGTCTAAAATGTGGCAAAATATGTCTCTTCTCCATGTACAAACCTGCTAATACCATTTGATAAGGGCAAACAAAAAAAAAATAATCCATGTCTGTTCCATTTCCTTTATATATAAATATATACGGAAAGAGGAGGAAGAAGATACCTGTTCACAGGAAAAGGTTTCTCCAGTCCTGGAGATGGGAATGACTTCATGCTAGGGCTCAGTTCTTTCCTTTACTTCAAAATACGTGTGGTAATTGCCTCCAGAGAAAACATGTGATTTACTGTCTGTCTACTTAGCCACAGAGGAGAGGCGAGTATGCGTAAGGGAGCAGAACAGTTATCACAACTCTTGTGCTAAGCCACCCAGAGATTCCTCTCCCAGGTTTCCCACAAGATTGTGGCACCTGGTATTTTCTATCATCGGTATCAAACTAGAAGAGTTCTCCGATTCAAAAGCATTTAATTTTATTGCATTT